TTTACTAAGGAGAGCAACTTTGAACCTCCTGACATGTTTAACCCCGATACCCCTTTCCTTATTGGCTATGCAAATAACATCCAAACTTATCCAACAAACCTTTTTATTCCCATCGAATCCCCCTCAAATAAAACTTCATTGAATAGAAATCAATTCATGCACGACTACTTTAGGAGCCTTGAAAAAGGACAAAAAATAAATCGAGATATTGAATAAAACTGCATTCAACATAGTAATCTACCGGCCATTGAAAGGTTGTTGCTCTGCCATTTTGAAAGTCTCAGCCGCACCTTAGAAATAATGGGAATCCAAGTACTCTTTCTATGATGATTTGCTCCAACCGGTAAGCCCAAGAATAAAAATAGAATGATTCCAATCTTGCACGCGAAGAAGGAAGAAGTAGCCTGCAGAAAATCAACATTTATATTTACCCCATAAACCCAACTTTTAGTAAGATTTAAGCTAAAGCCATATGCCAATTGAAACCCTCTAAGGATAGATTTCAAATTCCACGAATTGGCCCATTTTTTGTTACATATTATCACTGTATCGTCTGCAAACTGCAGCAGCTCGAAGTGAACCGAATTATCTACTTAAAAACCACAAAACTGACCTAAATCAACTGCATTCTGCATCAGCCCCGCTAAACCTTCAGTTGCTATCAAAAACAGGAAAAAAGGGATAACAGATCACCCTGGCGAATCCCTTTACAAACCACAAAATCCTTCGAAGGACTACCATTAACAAGAATTGACATGAAGCTGTTGAATATCAAACCATTCATCCATAATAACCATCTTGTTCCAAACCTCATCCGCTGTAAAATGTTTCGCAAATATTCCCACAAAATGCAATCATACGTCTTCGTAAAATCAACCTTCGTAAGCAAATAATCCTTCTTATTACATCTTGCGAAATCCACCATCTCATGTACCACCAAAATACCATCTTGCATTTTCCTTCCTTCCAAGAACCCTGTTTGCGATTTCGATATCAATTTATTCACAACTCTTCTGATTCTATTAGCCAAGATCCTATAGAGACTACCAATTAAACAAATTGGTCGAAAATCATCAACCACTTGAGTATTTTCATCTTTTGGAACCAAAGCAAGAAAAGGAGAAGTTATAGATTTTGGAACCCTACCACACTCATGAAACCCTTTAGCAAAACGGAAAAGATCGTCTTTAAGAAATTCCCAGCAAACTTTGAAGAAACCCATATTGAATCCGTCAAGACCTGAACTCTTATCCTTATCACCATTCCAAACCACAGTTTTAATTTCTTCCAAGGAAAAAGGTTGTTCAAGAGTGGTGTTATCCTCCAAAGAAATTTGGTTAAAGCTAACACCATCCAAGGTAGGCATGTTGTAATTTGTTTCAGAAAACCTTCTTTCAAAATGGTTCTTAAATCCCTCCTTTACATCATATACTTCCTCAATCCTACCTCTATCCATATTAAGTCCCGCAATATTGTTCTTCCTAAACATTGACTTCATGGCATTATGTAAAAAATTTGTATTTCGATCGCCCTCTTTGATCCACAAACTGCTTGACTTCTACCTTAGAATGCTGTCTCTATTGTGTAAAGATCTCCAAACCTTTTTGGTAGCCCCCTCCCGTTTGAGTTTACCTCCAACTCTCCATCAGTAACAACTAAGGCATCTAACATATCAAGTTCCCTAACGACATCTTCTACCTCCAAGTTGATGACTCCAAAAATTTCCTTATTCCACTTCCTTAACACCCCTCTCAATAATTTCAGTTTCTCATGCAAGACAAATGCAACTTTATCTTCAATTACAATAGTCTCCCAGAACTATTTAACCAACAACACTAAATCCTCGTTTTCGAACTAACAATTAAAGAACATAAACGGTTTGGGGCCCCAGTTAACCTTGCAAGCTTTGATCCAAATTGGGGCATGATTTGAAATGTCTATAGGACCTACATGTTGACAGTTAATGTTCCATTTTGAGATTAATTCTTCAAATAGTAGGAACCTATCCAATCCACTCAAAGAAGTACCATCCAAACTGAATCGGGTAAATTTATTTCCAATAGTAACAATATCACTTAAATCCATAGAATGAATGAAATCACAAAACACACTCATCTTAGTGGTGTTAACAACATTGCCACACTCTTTCCTTTTTGTCGCCGACTTGACTGTATTAAAATCACCCACCACCCACCATACTTCACCGGGGAATTTAATCTTAAAATCCTGCAGCTACCTCCACATAATTCTCTTCTTGGACAGATTACAAGAAGAAGAAACATTTACCAAGAAAACAGATTGATCATTCCATGACACACACATACCAATGAAACCTTCACCAGAAAAACTGAAAATCGGTTGAAATAAACCAGGTTTCCACATGGAGATAATACCCCTAGACCTTCCATCAGCTCTTATAAAGCTCCAATTTACCTCTCTACTACCCCACAAATCGAAAATGACAGCATCATTAACCACTTGTAATTTAGTCTCCCGAAGAAAACATACCTGTAAACCATGCTCTGAGATCAACTACCTAACTCGTTTCCTTTTGACAGCAATCCATGCCCCACGTGCATTGTAGGAGAGAAAATTCATTGGGCACCACTCATTTGATCATCCTTTTGTGATGTCCCTCCTTGTCCTTCAATTCCAATTGTCTGATGGCTTCAATGTGAATGTCTTCAGTCTCCCCACCTCTAACCCCAAAAAGCACCACTTTTCCCAAATTTTTGATGACACTTCTTCATTCGACTTCAATAGAATTATCTTTTTACAATGGGCAACATCGAAATCCCCCACTAATTTACAGCAAAATATCGAACCAGCTAAAAATTTCTCCAAAGAGTCTAATGATTTTGACAAAAAAGTTGTCAGTGTTTTATCTTTTTTCCTCAGCACTAGGTTTAGAATGGAAAAAATGAAGGCCTGAAAAGTTCAACATCTTCGATTGTATCCAAGGATCCGTTCGTGTCAAGTTTTTTCAATTGGGTTCTCCCAACTCTTTCCAAAGTATCAACATGCCCATTGTGATTTGGCCCATCAGCGCTACAACAAGACCTAGTCACTTTGGGCCTTAATCCTACTTATTTAACCATTGTATGGCTCATTATACCTTTAAAGTGATTAGAATTCCCACCCAATTCCTGAATGTCTTTTAAACATTTGAGTTTCTTTTTTTTGACTTTATCAGATTTACAGCTGGTTAGTCCCCCTTTCCTGACAATCTCTGTCTCTAAAAACTCTAGGTTAAACACCTTTTCACCAACCTCAACTACTTTATCAGAAATTGCCACGTTCCGTCCCTCTTCCGTATCCTTATCAGGTAATGACAAACATCACTTTTTCTCTCTCAACTCCACACTCACCTATTGCTTTAGAAATACTAGGTTCCTCAGCCAAAGTAGGGTCAGGCATGTGAACAGGATTTTCTTCACCATCGTAAGACGAGCCCAAATCATCGTCCCCAAGGCTAGTCACCAGAATGTCTTCTTCGTGTGAATCAGAAACCTCTGTTTCATCTGGATTACCATTTTTTTCCAACAAAAGATTTCCTGCAAAGTCTTCCAAGATTATGATCCTAAAGACCTCACCCCAGTACTTGATGGAAATATGTTCATTGATCAACTTAGAGTAACCAGTGCTTATGATAATACAAACACAGTCCAAACACGTTTTTATTTTCGTAGGTCCATCAGAACGAATAAACTTACCAAACATTTTTGCCATAAACTCAAAGAAGTGATCCTCTCAGATATGGCAAGGAATCCCCCATAACTTTAAATACGCCAACCTTTCCGTATCCACTTTACAAGGACTGATGTTCTTGAACCATGTATCCAACCACGTTTGATCTCTTACTATAATATCCTCAATCACCTCTAAAGATCTACCTTCTAACAAACACAACTTGGGACCTAAGGGAGTAATTTTAAGATTAAAGTAACCATCCACATATAATAACTCCTGTAACTCGTAAGTACTCCATGAAGTTTTGACTTTCCCCACAAAAGCTTGTTTGGACCTCAACCTTTCATCTAAACCAGCGACTGGATATTCAACTAGTGGTGGAGCAAACGAGCGTTGAACAAATTCACCACCTGAGTGAGAAGAACTCCTAACACTGTCCCTCTGATCAATATTCTTCAGTACATTAGCAAAAGACCTATCACCTCTCCTGTATCCACCGAGTGATCCCCTCATCCTCAAACCATCTCTCTCATGAAACTTACCCAAACCAACTTTGCCCTTCGACCCACCACCTTTAGTCTGCTCTAAGCATTGTCCTCTAACCTTTTGGAACGTGCGTTGAAATCTAGGGATGTTACTAAAGAGCTTCTAATCACCAAGGAACAAATTATCCAGTTTCGTGGCTAGGATTTTTACGTCTTCCACATTGAAGAACCTCACAAAACCGTAACGATTTTCCCGTACGTCTCTCTTCGCCAGAATAATGACCTCATAAATGTCTCTAAAAATCTTAAACTCCTCAAATAAATCTCTAGCCAAAAAGTTGTCTGAAAAAGAAATAAAGAAGATAGTTGAAACAATATCTCCCGTAACCTTATCTCCCATAGCGCGAACATTATTCCAATGGTTGAGTTTATGGTGAGAACCCCACTTTCTACCCTTCACCGGTCTCCATTCACTCTCCAATAAATAATTGAGGGAATTGACTCACCATCCAAAATTGAACCAAACATATTCTTTTAGAAATTTTCTATTCATTCCCATTTTCTTCTATCCATCTACCTAGAACCAAACACGACCTTAAACAAATGTAATTAATAAAATTCTTCGTAAAAAGTTTATATATTCTATTGTTTTAAAAAGAATTTCTAGGTGCATCAACAAAGAAAAAAAAGAACAATTTCTAGGGTCTGCTATTAGCGTTCCAGAGCGAGCACACAGTCTTTGAACGTCCGTGTTTGAAGCCAAATCAATTCCATTCTTCCTCAATCGGATCCCGTCACTCTCCGATCTTCAAATCTCTAACAAAAATGGTCAGAGGTTCGCTCAGCAAACTCCTCTCCCGCTCTCTCTCCGTCGCCGGAAAATGGCAGAACCAACAGCTCCGCCGCCTCAACATCCACGAGTACCAGGTTTCTCTCGATTCATTTCTTACAAAACAAATCGCGTGTTTGATGATGATGATGATTCTGTACTTCCTTTCCTTGAATTTGTAATTTATGAAATCGTCGATGTTTATTTAACGCAATCGAGGTTCCCTTACACCGCACCGTTTTTTATTTTTTTTATTTTTCCATGAAATTAGGGTGCTGAATTGATGAGCAAATACGGAGTTAACGTTCCCAGGGGTGTGGCTGTTTCTTCAGTTGAAGAAACTAGAAAAGCCATCAAGGATGCATTCCCCAATCAAAGCGAGGTAATCCGTAGTCCTTCCCACAACTTGAAATTGTAGACTGCAATTGTGTTTTTATCAATTTCTTGTTTTAACTAATTGAGACCCGAGTTATACAATTTATTACAAAATGTCTTGGTGAGTGGTTGTTAATGGTTTAACTGGGATTATTGTGCAGTTGGTGGTAAAGAGTCAAATTTTAGCTGGTGGACGAGGCTTAGGAACTTTTAAAAGTGGCCTTAAGGGAGGAGTACACATTGTTAAGACTGAACAGGTTGAAGACATAGCTGGTAATGCATGATATCTCTGTTATTCCTCAAATTCAAAATTTCCCTGTTCTCATTTCATGTCCCATTCATGCCTTTCAATATACGATGTCTCTCCATTCATATTATTAATTTAGTTGATTTGAATTTAGAGAGGTTAGAAGCCATAATACTTGATGATCTAAGTTTTTCGGTGTTATTTTTTTTTTTTTGGCTTGGGCCTGTAGTTGTTTCATTGTTGTGATTGTCTGTTATTATTTCAGGGAAGATGCTTGGGCAGATACTAGTTACAAAGCAGACAGGTCCTCAGGGAAAAATCGTTAGCAAGGTGTGAAATTAATAAATTATTTAATGTTGTATTTGTAAATATGTTAACATTTTCAATATCCTTCTATTTGCTAAACAATTTTCTTCTCTTAAAATTGAAACTCTGGCAAGCGATGCCAACCTTATCAATCTTCACGTAAATTATGTTTGAGCTGTAGTTGTTTGTTTTCTTTGTGAAATTTATACCCTTTGGAGCCCACCATGGCTCTTTTTTCCTCGCATGCAATATGTCTGTTGGAGGATAAATTTCTCCTTGCAAAACAGTACTTCAAACTTTAGTCATTTCCTTCTAGACTGACCCAGCTGGTTGGACCGGGTAGACTGGCCACTAACCAATCTGGTTTATTGTGGATTGGTTTCAGCGCATATACTGTTAGTCCAGCATCCCAAACTGGTGAACCTGTATCACTTGAGTTGTTGGACGGTTTAACTGGGCATTTGTTATCCAACTTATACACTTTTTGTGGTATTTGGCAGGCTAGCCAATTGTGATATGGATTCTATGTGATTAATGTATTGATCATGGATGTAAATTTCGTGTCAATTGGATATTACAAGTACTGCAGACACAATGACAACTGCTACTTTGTTTTATTTTGATTATCATTTTATTTTTTAAAGTAGAAATGTAGAATATATATGAAAGGGAGACATATTGCTGCTGCATCGATTGTTTGACGTCTAATTGTCTAACTTATACAGGTTTACTTGTGTGAAAAGCTGTCACTTGTGAATGAGATGTACTTTGCTATAACTCTGGATCGTAAGACTGCTGGCCCAGTAAGTTTCCTATACCATTATATTAGCTTCGTTCTACTTTAAGTGATAAAATAAAAACTTTCACGTTCAATGCACGACTTGTTTAATTTTCTTTCCTTTAAATTTGACCAATAATAAACAGCAACATTCTTTCCTTTAAATTGGACCAATAATAAACAGCAACGTTCTTTCCTTTAAATTGGACCAATAATAAACAGCTATTCCCTCTGTTCCTTATTTTAAGCAAAAAAATATCAACTTCTTTTGCTCTAGTATAAGAAAATATTAACCATCTTTACAATTTTTAATATTATTCTTCCCATAATACCCTTAATTAAATTACTGTGATTTTCCAATACCACCTCATTTAATTAAAACAATTTTCTATGACACAAGCTGACTAGTTCTAGAGAGAGCACAGGTTACTACTAGTAGTTGATTAGTGGAAAGGTTACCAAAATTGTCCACAAGAGAGTTTTTTTTTTTTTTTACTTCCTCGTATTCTTCCCTTTTCACCGTATGCTAATAGCAATATGAGGGGTTGTGTTGAAGAGGAATACGCAAAGGTGTAATTTGTAGGAAACCATTAATAAAATATGTTAGTTGTAAAATTTATTCATGAAGGATATTTTTGTAAATGTCTGTACATTTTGTTAAATAAAAAACAATTGACTTTAACTGATTTCCTTAATATGTGTAAAATGGGTTAAATTTGCTTATAACAAAGAACAGGGGGAGTATGTTGCTTATTACAATCTTTTTGTTATACTTTTGCAGCTTATTATTGCCTGTAGAAAGGGAGGAACGAGCATTGAAGACCTTGCAGAGAAATTTCCAGATATGATTGTAAAGGTTTGTAATTCTTGACATTTCTCCGAGCAGTATTCTTTGCCAGATATGCCTGATACATTCCTTCTTTCTAGTAGGTACCTGTTGATGTTTTTGAAGGAATTACTGATGCAGATGCTGCAAAGGTTGTTGATGGTTTGGCTCCCAAAGTGGCTGATAGAAATCAATCAATTGAACAAGTGAAGAATTTATATAAACTTTTTGTTGATTCTGACTGCACCCTTTTAGAAGTAAGCATGTCCATGTTCTAATCGTCTGCACTCTACATATTTATCACTTTTTAATAATTTCTATAATGACAGTTCATTATCTTCTACAGATCAATCCCATGGCAGAGACAGCTGATAACCAACTAGTAGCTGCTGATGCTAAATTGAATTTTGATGATAATGCTGCATATCGTCAGAAAGAAATATTCACTCTCCGTGATACAACACAAGAGGATCCCCGAGAGGTTTACTTACATGCTCTTTTGTTTGTGTTCATATTACATGAGAATTGAACATATGATCCCTAAACCCACTCCTTCATTACAACTAAAGTCCAGGGATTTTCTACCCATCCCTGGTGTATTTTTGGGTCGTGTTCAAGACACCTTTTGGGCAAGCCCAATTCGGCACTATGTGACCTAATATTGTAGAACATATTTTGTAACAATTAGGATGAATAATTAACTTTTTACTTAACGACTTCTACTTAACATGATAATATACTTATATTCACACACTTTTTTGTTGTTGTTGCAGTATAGTGTTACACATCACTTTCTTTATTTCCTACTAAAGATTAATTGCAACTATGCATGCAATACTGATAATGTTCTAATTTCTTTGTGTAATTCAAATATTGGATTGGCCCAGTTAATATCTGGATCCAAAATTGTCCTGACTAGAATGTTGGATTGTGCTCATTTTGATATTATGTGAAGCCTACTCATCCTGTCTCATATACACTACTAAGCATATATCCGAGCTTAGTTAACTACTTATATTTATTACAGTGCACTGTGATGCTTTTGATATGTACATGGATCTCATGCTTATGATACAATTATGGAGTGAAGTGAGGTTCTACATGGCAGTATGAAGATTTCACATGATATATTTGTGCCTGATTATTAAATTTTTAAATTCTACATCCTTTTTGTCTCTTTTCACAAGGCAAATGACTAAATGTAACATCATTCGTGCCTTTTCTCTTTTGAACAGGTGGCTGCTGCAAAGGCAGATTTAAACTATATTGGGTTAGATGGAGAAATTGGCTGCATGGTGAATGGAGCAGGGTTAGCAATGGCCACAATGGATATAATTAAGTTGCATGGAGGTACTCCTGCCAATTTTCTGGATGTAGGTGGCAATGCCTCTGAAGGCCAGGTAATGTTTTACAGACAAGATTGTTCTCATTTTGGTATTAGTATTGGTCTTAGTTAGATTATTAAGATCAAGAAAATTGCCCTTATTTTTTCCTACATCACATCATTTTGTAGACCGCTGGTGCATTAACCTGAAATTCAGAAAGATTTTATTAGAAAAGCATCCCTTAGTAGTTGCTACCCACTAGATACCTCCTTCAATGATCTGATCTCTGCCTTAAGATGTTTTTGTTCATATATACTGTAATTATGTAAATCAGGTTGTTGAAGCATTTAAGATATTGACTGCTGACGACAAAGTGAAGGCAATTTTGGTTAACATCTTTGGTGGTATAATGAAGTGTGATGTTATAGCAAGTGGAATAGTGAATGCTGCAAAACAGGTTAGTAATGTTATGTCTATCAAAACAATAGTGATGCCTTTTAAAAACATGGTATTTCTTCATGCAACCTTATTAATTTTATCTTTATTAGCAGTTTTAGATTATGGTTTTGTTTGAACCTATTTGATTTTGAAAGGACTACATGATGTCAATAAAATGTAAATTTCTTATAATTGATGCCTTGTAAGATTTAAATTTTGATCTACAATGTGGGTGTAGATTCATAATATTTTCAAATTTTAAAGTAAATTTAGAGCTAATGTTATTGTTTTCGTCATCCCATTTTTCCCTTGATATATATATTTTTAATTGAAAAGAATATTGGTTGAACACCACATCCATGACCATATGCATTAACTTCTCTTGCCGATATTTTTTAGGTTGCACTGAAAGTTCCAGTAATTGTCCGTCTTGAAGGCACCAATGTTGATCAAGGGAAAAGAATTTTGAAGGTAAATGTTAGGTTTAGTAATATAAATAAACTATCTGTTTTGAGAAGGAACTGATAATATTTCAATTATTTGGTCTAAAAATGAAGAATGTTTCAAAGGCTTATTATGTCGATCACCGATGTTTCAACAGGAAAGTGGCATGGCATTAATAACAGCTGAAGATTTGGATGATGCAGCTCAGAAAGCAGTGAAAGCATACAAATGAAGGGTTAATCTTGTTTAAATTTTAAAATCGGTTTAGTTACTATACTATTTTTTGAGTAAAATTATTGTAGAGAAGGGAATAGATGCAAGAAATCTTCTCATTGAAGCCACAGTGGCTATTAGAACATTTCCAATAAAGTAATTTCCACACTATTGTTTAATTGGGGTGATGTGCTCGATTGCTCGGTTTCTTTTACAATTCAACATTCCCGTCCCTTTCTGATTATTCTTTGTTGAGTTCTTTTTTAGTCTTAATGCTATGCTTGTCTCTGGTTCATTAATTGGACAACGTCTGCTTTTAAGATTTTCAATTTTTTTGTTAGAAGATTTTCAAATTTGAATGTTTGATTGATAATCTAATATGAAGTATTTATCTTACATTGTAACATATTTTCTCCCTGTTAAGTTTGTGCTATTTTTTTTGAGATTCCACTTAATGATAAATTAAGTTAGGGATTCTATAATTTCAGTGCTTCTATGGGTAGGCATCTCATGTGTGTGACATAATAACTCCAGCAAACATAGTAATTGTTATCGGTTCTAAACTCAGGAGAATTTATGATGAGTGAAGTTAATTTTAAGACACTCTTGACATTTTTAGCGAGTGGTTAGGAATTTGATTATTAATTGGGAAATTTTGACTGGGAGAAAAGAGTATATGAGAGTGTTTTTGCCTTGGTATTTTGGTTGATAAATATTGTTCTGTTATTCTAGGAAATTGCAATATCATAAGTTAAAAAAAATCAGTTTAAAAAAAATCATGTCACAATATCATAATTTTTTGAGGTCAACTTATAACAAAATGAAAGCAAAATAAAGTCAATGTAAAACGAAGTTATATTAAATTTAAATGAAAGGTGTTTGAAAATACTAAAAAGTTATATATTGAAACATAAACTAACTATTAAGTATGTCTAATCTCTTGCTTCTTTCTTTGTATGTACTACATGATATGTCGTAACTTGGCAACCATACGCTCCACGAGGGACAATTAGGGACTATCATGAAAGAGTCCCAACCCTGTGGCTACTCTATGCATCTTTGTAATATGTCAATGGACTGCCATCACGCTCTCTGTCTGTGGCTACTCTACGCATCTTTGTAATATGTCAATGGACTGCCATCACGCTCTCTGTCTGATCATCTTGAACATCAAATACCTATTAGTTAGCTGAGCTATGTAGTCCTTTAGGAGGGTCTGGCGTCATGAAATAGTCCTTCAGCAACAATCCAATGTACAAGAGTTGACTCCATGCGATACTTCTCTCTCTGGTAGCAGGTGACTCTCAAAATCATCAAGTATCACTTGTAGATCTCTGTGGCGGATGCTGAGTGGAGTGGACTCATGGGGAGGTCTCAGAATAATCTACAAGTAGCCAAACTAGCGCATCACTCGCTCAGACAGATAAAGATACATAAGAGATGATCCACATGCCAGCCATCAGAGTATAAGGAAATGATGTCAAACTGATGTGTTTGACGGTGACCCTCGTATAGGCAAAAGCAAATACCATCTGGTACCATATAGTCAAGAGATACTCTGGATGGCTCGACCAAACCATCCCTTCTGTGCGGAACAAAAGCGACTTCACGTGACCAATCCTTATCGTAGGCAAACGTAGCTTTCCACCCGGTGATGTGAGAGAAGTGGGAGATGATCCATCCCTGAAAATGGTTCAAATACAATATTGATAACATGTGTAATAAATGAATTACAAAAATATCAATAACAAGAAATTGCCGTAAAAAGCGTGCAAGTCTCTGTCATCAGTTTTTTCTTGAAAGACAACTCTCGCCCATCTTTGAATACATAGACAGTCTCTCGATTGTACTCGTGAATCCCTATGAAATACTTAAAATAGACCACATTGACATACATGCTCTTCCATGCATACATGCATGATGAAGTTACATCAATGCATGTTCTACCTGTTGTGAAACTTATGAAATGCACATTCCTACATGACATGATATATCTACATATTTATAGTTTACATAATTTTTTCTTAACAATTCATTTTAATTTTATGATTAGAGACAATTTTTCTTAGCTACAATATATATTTTGATGCATATGTATATGTATTAATAGAATTGTGTAATTTGACAAGAAATGCAATCTTACAATTTGCGTTACAATCGTCAAGTTATGATTTCTCAAATCCATTAAAATCCCTCCAATTTTAAAGTAAACTCTCAATTTTTAAAAGTTGTCCACAAATCCACTTCAATTTTTTTTTTGGGACAAAGTTATTTGATTACAATGAGTTGTTTTTTTTTTTTTGATGAAAAGATAAATATCATTAAGAACAGTACAGAGAGGGGTGCCCAAACTGGGAATGTGGCCAGTTCAAGTTCTAAAACCAAAAGACTTACCAATTCCAACCATATGGTGGGCATCTAAATTACATAATCTGTTAATAAACATCAGAGTGACACTATCAAAATCCTTCATTAGCAACTTGCAATCAGCAACCACAGAGTCTAAATCAGCTATAAAAACGAAATCGTTAATACAATCCACCACAACTTGAGCATCCGATTGAAATACAAAACTCTTTAAATTCAGCTCTTTGGCCAGCAGGAAAGCCCAACGGATGGCCAAAAGCTCAGCATTCGCAGGATTGGTCACACTTGGGAATCTTTTAGACGCAGCAAGAAAAATGTTAGAAGTAGGGTCTTTAATAATACAACCAAGAGAAACAAAACCCCCCTCTGAAGCCGCCAGCGTTAGTTTGTATGACCCAATCATTAATCTTCACCGAGTTGGCCTACCTCCCAAGATTAGAAATACCGAATTTTTGCCCCCAAAGTACCTTCATGAAACAGGTCCCAAATATCCCCTGCAATGGCACAAGGACCAGGTTGTAGTTTATTGAAAACCACACCATTACACTCTTGCCAAAATTTCCACAAGCCAATCCTAACCAACTGCCCAATTGAAGCATCTTTACTACCAAAAATCTCTCCCAACCAGTCCAAGAGGTCCGACTCCGGCACACGAATACCCAACTGAGCGTCAAAGAAAGTTCTTTTAACAAAGTTGCAGCGGAGGAAAAGATGAAGAGAATTTTCAGAACAGGAATTACACATAGGATAAGAATCGTCAATGAACATACCTTTCTTCCTCATATTAAATTTGGTAGGCAAAATATCTTTCGACAAACGCCATAGAAAATTCTTGATCCTAGGATTCACTGCTACCTTCCACAGGTTTTTCCATAACTTCTGGCCACTTCTATTGGATGTTCCAGGATCCTCCCTCCACCTCTGTTCTCCCAGCCAATGGTAAGCAGTTCTCACCGAGAAGTTACCGTCTTTCTCGTGGTGCCAAATAAGCTTGTCCCCAGGAAGATTGAAAGAAAGAGGGATGCTGCTGATATGAGAAACGTCATCGGCTTCAAAGTTGTCTCTCAGAGTCTCCAAGTTCCACACCCTTCAATCGAGATCAATAAGTTGGTTGACTCTTGTACTTGGATCAAGCACCGAGGTTGGTTTGTAATCTTAAAACCATGCAGCAACGAATCCATCTGTCATGGCCAATACTGATTTTTCCCCATTACTAACACGCCAGAGCCACAGATCACCATTTCTTTAGCGCCCAGAATGCTGCGCCATGCATAGCTAGAATTATAACCACGAGGAGCCTCCACAATGGTGCAGCGAGGATAGTAGCGCCCCTTAAAGAATCTCTCGAAAAGGGAACCGTCACCATGCATCAACCTCTAGAACTGCTTTCCCAATAGGCTAGTATTAAAATCATGAATTCGTATGAAGCCTAAATCCCCTTCCATTTTCGCTTGAGCTAATTTATCCCATCATAACCAATGAATCTTCCGTTCACCCTCTTTCGCTTGAGCTAATTTATCAGTTATAAGTCTCCTGTGGATGAAAGCTTTGCTCCTCACTTATGATTTATGGCAGAAATCTTTTCAAACGGTTGGCAATGGCTTTAGTAACCGCTTTCATGATGACGTTACACAGGCTGATGGGTCTGAAATCCAACGGGACTGAAGGATGCTTCTTCTTCGGGATAAGGGTGATGAAAGTATTATTAATCTCTACAGGACTCCTATTGTTATTCAACACATCAAGGACATAACATGAGACCTCCTCACCAACCAGCGACCAATATTTCTGATAAAAAAGAGATGGGAGACCATCAGGTCCTGGGGCTTTAGTAGGGTGCATTTGAAAGAAAGCAACACGAACCTCCTCCATCGTGTAAGGGCTGTCACATAAAAGCTTGTGGTTTAATGTTAGCCTACCCTCAATGAACTTGCTTACCTCCTGGACATTCAGAGGATTTGAAGAAGTAAATAACTGCTTGAAATACCTGACAAGGATCCCCTCGCAATTTCCATGGCCCATTTTCCAATTACCTCCCCCATCCTTCAGTCTCTTTATCATATTGTTCCTTCTCCTTTGATCAGCTTTGGAGTGAAATTTTTTGTATTTTTATCTCCGTCTCTAAGCCACACAACATGACTTCTTTGTCTCCATAGGATCTCTTCTGCCTTCAAGAGTTTGACTCTTTGCCTTTCTAAAGCCTTAAAATTCCGAGCCTCAATCGAATCGCCAAACCATCACCTCTCCTCATTAATAAGAGCTCTATTTTCTAACATTTAATTCATGGATGAGCAAGACCGCTCTTAGGCTTCCTAATGTAGTCAGCGTGAGCTGTGACTTAAATCCCCTCCAACGAGTACCGACATAAGATATCTTTTTTTTTTTATAACTTTGAGTCATCGGTAAACTCAAAATTCAACTACATTTAAATCAACATATAAGTACGTAAGATAACTTTTAAAAGTAGAGCAATGTTCACAATCCACTACTCTGTAGAACGAATCAAAATCGATCGAAACCTTTTGACCTGATGAGTTGCAGACCGATGTAAATTGGGGCATCATTGTGACACCATTTTGTGGTCTTTTCGATTGAGTATCATTTGTTTGAGTTTCATTCGCACAACCCTCATTTGTTTGAGTATCTTCGCTAGTATCTCATGTAAAACTCGACAAGTTCGACATCTATGTTCAAAAACAACAATAACAATATGAACAACAAGACCATAAACAACAACCATAACATGAATAACAACAACCAAAACAATGTCAAATGAAGTTTAATGTAGAAGCATGGGGAAACTATTTTACGTACCCTAAACGGGATGACTGAGTAAATGAAGTTGGTGTTGGTGTTATCTTGCTCCTTACAACAACGACGATGTTGGTGTTGGTGTTATCTTGCTCCTTACAACAACGACGATGTTGTTGTTGTTGTTGCTGCGTATTCCAAAGGAGCACCTTCATCGGAGGCTTTGTTGCTGAAAATACAACTAGGGCATTTCTCTTCATTAGATCGAACGTTGGAAAGGATTCCTCTGATGCTGATGACGACGAAGATAAAAACGTTGATTTAGAAATGCAGACATTCTAGGCTCCACTCAACTCAAAATACACTAAAGCTTCAGTGTATTGGGATACAATATTGTGAAAACATACATGTGTTTGCAGTCGTATTTATAGTAAATAAAATAATACGTACCCCATATGATATGACTTCAATACCCTTACAAAATTTATACACTTTAAACTTCAATGATTTGTCAATTTTTATGTTTTAAAAGTTATTATTTAAATCAATTTATCTACCTTAAAGTTAAATCAACACTCAATTTTTATTTTGTATTTAAACCTAAATTTATTAAACTAATTTAAGTTTATTTTTAATTAAACCTAAATTTAATAACTTTTTTAACATTCTTAAAATTTTAAAATGATATGATATATTACAATTAATTCATTTATTTTTAATAGGAATGTGGGTAGCAGTTACGAGTATGAGTGCTTACGTAGAGTACGGGTATGGGTGCAAACTCATGTGTTGGGTGGACAACCCAAGCCAAGAACATGCATTCCAATGGGCAAGGACGCTGGCCAGGCCAAGTCTACTAAATGTATCATTGATTTGCTTAAGAATGTTGAAGTATGTATTTTGTATTTTATGTTTGATATTGACTTTTATATTGCAGTTTGATATTTTTAATAAACTTATAACATGCATTATCTTGATTGATAGATCTATTTGAGAATAAACAGGATTGTAAGCATAAGCAGTGTAGATATAATTTTGTTCGACTTTTCAAAGTAATTTAGATGATCAATGTATAAAATTAATTTGGAGATTTTTTTTTTTGCGAAATGTGATTAACACGTGTCTATGATTTTTGGTTTTTGGTTTTTGTTTTATTGCCAGTAAGTATTAAAAATGTAATTTTTTTTAATGTATTATTTTTGTGAATTTTGTATCATTTTTAATTTTATAATAAAATATATTTAATATTATTTTTAAGTTTTTTAGGTAAATTTTATTTAAAAAATTGTATATATTTTAATTAAAATAATTAAATTAATGATAACTTGAATAAAAAATATAAAATATGGGGTCAACACTTTGGGCCTACAAAAAATATCTTAGTTTACCCATTTAGTTTACTCCCATTAAGATAAAACCCTAATCACCCTTAAAAAACGTAATCAATATGACTTTCAACACTTCTCTTCCCTCCAATTAATCAGAATTTTGTTTCTCTCACAACAATCAGAGTCTATATTCCAGGTCATTGCTCTATTCACTTCTTTGAGCTTTTCAATTTTCTTTTCATGTAGATATTTAGAGTTAATTATTTCATAAACCATGTTTATGTTCCACTCTGTTTATTGTTTCTTTCTATTTGATTTTATTCCTTGTTCGGAAATTCTCTTTCATAGTTTTAAGATTAATAATGCTAGGGTTTAATTCAAGACTTTTGTAGTTACATAATAAATATACAAATTCAATTATTTTATTATTTAAGCTTGTAAATGAATGATTCGAAAAACACATATGAAAAAAGAGAGCTATTGTGGAATGTTTTAGAAAAGAAAAGAGTTTTTTTTTTTTTTTTTTTTTTTTTTTTTTTTTTTTTTTTTACGTTTGAGAAATCATGGATATGTATGTTTAATTATGTGCTAAAATTTTCAAACTTTGTGACTTTTTAGATATATTGAGTCATGAGTGGCACTTCAAAGCAACAACCGGGTGGTGGCAAAAGTCCACAGTGTAGCCAGTCAGTATTACCGGAGAAAGAAGCTGATCAAATAGTTAACTCGGGTGGAGGAGAAGTTGCTCTAAAGAAAGGTATCGAAGTTGATCAAACAGTTAATGCGGGTGGAGGAGAAGTTGCTCTTAAGAAAGGTAGCACTTCGACGCGAAAACGTAAAGTGTCATCATTATCAAGTGGCAGTGATGTTGGTAAAAGGTCAAAGCTTAGCCGATCAATATTACCAGAGGAAGAAGCTGATCAAAGAGGAGAAGTTGCTCTAAAGAAAGGTCCATGGACAAAGGAAGAGGATGAAAATTTGAAAGATCATATTAAAAAGCATGGAGAGGGAAACTGGAAAGCAGTCCAAAAGGAATCAGGACTTACTCGCTGTGGGAAAAGCTGTCGTCTCCGATGGTCAAATCACTTGAGGCCAGGAGTGAAAAAAGGTTCGTTTACTGCCGAAGAAGAACGCCTAATCATTGAGTGCCACTTTATGAAGGGAAACAAGTGGGCTCATATGGCTACATTGGTATATCTAATAACTTAACTTTGTTTGTGTATATTATGTTAATGTTAATGTGTAGATGATATCCTGCATTGGTTTCTTGTGGAATATAATACCATTTTTTCTCAAAATGAATGCATCTTCAAATGATGATTTG